TGCCACAGGAAAGAACAGTTCATTAACTGAGAAGATACAAGGGTGGACCCAAAAAAACCGCAGAATTATTTTTTGGAGCGTGAGTCCCTTATAGTACTGGCTTCCCTACTAAGTGTTCTAGGAACCCATCAGCATCAGCGTACCAGCTAGTGTTTGTCGTGAGAGGCCATATTCCGCCTCAGTGTTTTTTGGCTTTGTTTCTTGTTTTTTTGAGGCTATTTTCATGTGTTTGCCCATTTCATGATGGATGATTTATGAACGCACCTGTCCACACTGCACCAAGTTTTCAGCAGTTTTTGACCCAAAACGGCCTGGTCTCTGTGCCCCACCCTCCCTATTTACCTGATCTCACCTGAGCGACTTGATTTTGTGTTTCCCCAGATGAAAAAGTCCCCACAAGAAAACGTTTTGTCAATGTGGAAGAGGTGAAACAAACTTTTATACATGTAATAAAGCCGAGGACTCCTGTAATGAGTCAACTTAAATCTAAGCTCCCTTCTTGAAAAATCTCATTAAGACTAACTGACTCTAAGAGAAAGTTCCTACACCAGGGTCAATCTTCCCTAAGAATCTGCCTATGACAAGCAGAAGGCAAACATCTTTGTCATGTTCCTGTTGTTTTAATGACTCCTTCCTCTACTAAAAACCAACAACAAAACAAAAAGCCAAGCACTGTTTGTATACTATTGGAAGAAGGTCTCCTTGACTCCAATAAATAAAAGCAATCGGCTAATTTGTAGTAACTCTATAGTCTTTCAGGACTGCATTTTAAGTTGGTCTTCTATCCTACATAGCCCCAGAGAAATTCAATTAATTCTCCCACACTTCTCTTGGATTAGGAAAGCGCTCTGATTAGTGTTGCATTAGCAGATGCAAATCATTTTCTGGATAGGTCAGAAAATTAAATAAACAAATAGGCATTATTTAGAAAAGGTCACCCCCAAAAAGTGAAAGAATGTTATACATCCAGACTTCCAGCAGAAACATCATAATCGAGAACTACTGAAGAAGCATTTCATGACACCAAGACATTTTGGAAGCCTGCATATTATATATTTTCACTGGGACAATTGAACAATCTTTCTGAATGTGTCATATTGAAAACAGGTCTCTGGTCAGGCACAGTTGCTCGCGCCTATAATCCCAGCGGTTTGGAAGGCCAAGGTGGGAGGATCGCTTGAGGCCAGGAGTTTGAGGTTACAGTGAGCCAGAATCACATCACTGCACTCCAGCCTGGGTGACAGAGTGAGCTCCTGTCTCAAAAAAGAAAGGAGAAAAAAAAGAAAGAAAACTGGGGAAGTCTCATCTACTTGAGACAGACTTCTGTCTCGCTCTCAATATGGGGTTAATGTTTTTAGGACAGGCTATCACCCTTTCTAAAATGTTTTCTCATATCTCCCTGCACAGCTCATGATGGTGGGTTGTATGAATACAGGCCTCGTTGGATCTTCTGCAGAACATAGCCCCCTCTTACATCTCCACACTGCGGAGGATGTGGAGAAAGAACTTACCTGAAGTGTCTTTTCACCAGAGTGGGTCGCAGGATCTGCCAGGAGGAGGCTTTCTTTCAGGGCCTGCCTCCTGACAAGCAGGTGTCAAAGCAGAGGCGCCTCAGCTTTATTTCCAGGATGTAAAACACGGACCTACTAATTTGCTCCACTGGGAATTCAGCTTTTGTTTTCAGTTTCCAAAAGACCAGCTCCCAAATTCTTAAGGCATTTGATGATACAGTATTGATCCAGCTGCTTCGTCATCTTCAGGCAGAGTTGGTAGATTCTTATTCTGGGAAGACGTGCAGTCATTATTGAACAAGTTATTCATTCAGCACAACAGGACTCAGCAACCCATCCCCCCCCAAAAGGGAAGAATTTATTATGCAAACCAATTTATTACATAAAAATGGATTAAAATGTATGCAAGAGGGCTGGATGGGCCTAATTCCCTACCTTTAGGGATGATTCTCAGGTGTGCCTTCTCTGTCTCAGATGCATTGCTCTGATACATTTATTATCCTTGATGGGGGGGGGGGTTGGCCCTGTGCCCAGCTGATGCATTTTCTGGGTCATTTAACCCAGATTTCTCCAGTCTGACTTTTCTTGGGGGGAAAAAAATTTTCTGTATATTGGCAGCTAAGTGAGGCCCTTAGCCAAAATCCTTTTTAATCAATTCTTTAATGTTGCTAACTGCTAAATTAAAATTTTGAAAGCAGGCTTTTCCTAAGCTATGAAGTGGGTTCATGCTTGGCTCAGAACCAAATCCTATGGACATGTGAGATGTGTGTACTTCCCAGTGGTTGTAACCTGAGGATTGTGTTTAAACTGTCATCTGAATCAACAGTAATTTGGTGTCAGGGAGGAATCGGATCTTTATCAACAAAGAGCTGCCAGAACCCCAACTGCTTCTTGAGTAGCGGTAATAGATGAAGAATGTTACAACCAACCATGCATTTCAATTTGAGCTCCAAAAACTTTTCAGTTAATGCTGGTGGTATTCCATATCCATGCGTTCATCTCGAAGAGCAGGAGTTTCCATCTGACTTCCATTACCTTTCTCAAGAGGATCAGTTTTACAACTGGAATCAGAAAAGCAGTCAAAGTAATCACAAGTGACAATCAATGAAATATAACAATTTTAGCTTGGGAACATATGTTCCAGTAAAGAAAAAAAATTTTCCCATGATTCCAAGGCTCATATTTTCCCTGGCCTAGAAGGGACCACAGACAGGTTCTGTACTACCTTCCATATCTTGCTGAGATCTCTATAAAGTACTTGCTCCCTTCTAGGGATAGGCAAATCCTTACCTCCCAAGGAAATCTATTCCCTTTTCAGTTCTGACTTTTTGAAAATGCTTTATTGTCTTGGAGATAAAATTCATTTCTCTACTGTTACATCCTTCAGACTGGCAAACGTGGGAATCAACAAAGTAAATCTAAACTTCTCTTCAGATACTCATAGGCAGCTCTCATCTGCAACTCCTACCTTTTCCTTTGCTAGGCTATACTCGTAATATATGTTCCTTTCTTATATGGAATAGCTTCAATTTTGTTCATCACTGTGGCCACTCTCCTTGGGAGGAGCTCAAATTTGCCTATATCTCTCTTGAAGGCATTGTGCTGAAGGAAAATTAGACTTTAAATCAGAATATCTGTATTAAATTACATCTCTGCAACTTATTCTATATGTTGGAACTGGGGCAAATTCTTCTCTGTCATGGCGGTAGTAAAGGTGAATAAACGTGACACGGTCTAGTGGTTGAAACAGGCGATAGGCAAATTAACAAATAAGAAAATATATCATTACATCCTTTAATAAGTAGTATAAAGCATCGTCAGGAAAGTTCCGAAGCCCTAGGGCACTCGAGGGGAGACCTTCTGAGATGAAGCCTGGGTATTTTATGATGTGGAGACAGAGAAAGTGTGTTTGACAATATGGATTGTGCTAAGTGGGAGAGCAATGCTTTCTAACAATTAAAGCAGGCACATGTCTAGAGTTTGGAGAACAAGGAGGCAGGTGGCACGTGATGAGTCCGGGAAGGGAAGAGCTTTGTAGGCAATGTGGAAGGTTTGGACTTCATTTGAAGTATAAGGGGAAGCCGATGTTGGGTTTGAAGAAGAGATTGCATTGACTGAAGTATGTATTTTAAAAAATTGCTTTCATACTAGATGGAGAACAGACAGGAGAGGACAAAAGTACAAGTGAGACAGCCAATTAAGAGGCGAGTGTCCTAATCCAAGAAGAGGTTCCTGTGCTACTTACAACAAGCCACGAGCTTTATTTATTTTTTATTTATTTTTTATTTTTATTATGAAGTTGTGGGGTACAGTTAAGGGTTAGGTATACAATTGCGTTTCATTCAGGCACCCTGTTGATATGGGGTGTTTCCCTGTTCCCAGACAGATATTTGCAACTGTTAATCCCATCTCCCTCCCCCCACCATAGAAGCAGGGGGTGTAACTCAGTGGTAGAGCGTGTGCTTAGCAAGCCACGAACTTTAAATGAGAAGGAACATTCTACAGAGGTTTAGATGCAGACATAGCAGACAGACAGCCTGTGGTTAAACGTTACCCCACCAATTCAACTTGAGCAACTTGGCCATGTGTTATTAACCTCTTTGCTCCTCAGTTTCCTCCTCTGCAAAGGGATGATCGTGATAGGACTTTGTAGAGTTGTTGTAAAGATTCAATGAGTCGCTGGGCTCGGTGGCTCAGCCTGTAATCCCATGCCTTCGGGAGGCTGAGGTGAGTGGATTGCCTGAGCCCGCGGGTTCGAGACCCACCTGGGCAACTTGGCGAGACCTCATCTCTACCATAAATCAAAAATCAGATGGGCATGGTAGCACGCGCCTGTAATTCCGGCTACTCGGAAGGCTGAGGCGGAAGGATCGCCGGAGCCCGGCAGGTCGAGGCTACGGTGCCCGGGAGCGGCCACTGCACTCCAGTCTGGGTGACAGAGGGAGACTCCAACTCAAAAAAAAAAAAAAAAAGATGATTCAGTGAGTTTATATATGAGTGTCCTGTTAGCTTCATCTGCAAAAGGTTTATTGTCATTAAAGCATATTGTACTCTATATGCATTTTCAGAATCAGCCATTCTTTTATTTCGTTTTTGTCTGAGAAAGGGGAAACTCATGAGTGAAATAATAGACCAGATTGTTTATTGTCCTTTTCACACTTTCATTTTTTTGAAATACTGGTGTAACAGAGATGACAGGCAACCCGTGAAAGAAAAGGAATTCTGTGGACCATCTGTTGTATTTTTCATTCACTGTCATATTAAAGACCTGATACTTTTTTGGTACACATTGTTTTAATGGGATGGTTCTGATAGGGGCTGTTTTTAACCTTCCTTAAAACTCAGCCTTCAATCCATTATGACTCCTACAGAATAGAGTGGAACGGTAATATAGCGTTGCCATTATTTAGTCAGTCATGTCCGAGACTGTTTCCTCTGGTGATATGTTCACCAGAGGAAACACTCTGAATAACACTCCTTGTTTTGCAGGAATCCCGGGAAGTGACTATGTGAATGCCAACTACATAGATGGTTATAGAAAACAAAATGCCTACATTGCAACCCAGGGATCTCTCCCCGAAACCTTTGGGGACTTTTGGAGAATGATATGGGAGCAACGGAGTGCCACGATTGTCATGATGACAAAACTAGAAGAAAGATCCAGGGTAAGAAGACATATCTACCTCTTTCCTTTAAAAACTCTTTCCTCGGAGTTCCTATGGTGCATATTTTATTCTGTTCAAAATCTAACCTTTCCCCAAGGCTTAACTTTCTAGCAGGTATTAATTGTGAATGGGCTTCAACAACTCTAATTAAACCATTCTTTAAAGCTCATCTGGGGCTTTTCCAAAAAGAGATTCCATGTTATGATGTGTGTGATTGCTAAAAGAAAAAATAAGTAGTATTCAAGGAAATAGACAACTTGGTTAGAAAAATAAATTGTTAGCTTGTACCTCTTTCTAAAACTCATATCGAACAAGAAGCCACAGACTTTGGGGAGAATTCCACCGAAATGTACTTGAAGTATTTCCAACTTTTTCTTTCTTATAATCTACAGTGTGAGATCTAAAGTTCTGTGAAAAGGGCTCTTATTTAAATTAGTCAGATTAGCATAAATTAAATCCAGGCAGTCAGAAAAATGAATATGGCTGAATACACGGCTAAGAAGATGCCCTATATGTGTAGGAGATATTTTGCTAGTTTAAACCTTTCTAAAGTGAATAGATTTCAATAATGGAGTCACTGCTTGGTACGGTCCAAGAAAGGAGTTTTAGTCATATGGGTCCAATATTATGGTGCACGGCACATTAGTTAAATGCTGTTGATTTGGAAAACTAAAACATAATGGGTAAGCAGTATCCCATAGTCCCAAGAGCATGTGCACATATTGTAACCATCTGATGAAAATCAGTCTTTAACCTTGAGAATTTACTGACGGGATCTCTGAAAATTCAGCCAAGATACTCCCACTGAAGGTAGGGACATTCAAGGGACAGTTTGAAACTACAGGTGAGAGGTCATTTTTACTGTTTTCATGGCAGTCTCAAAGAGGATATTTAGAAAGAAGCGACAGTATCCTCCCCATTTACTGTGTGACAGTTGAGGTTCTTTAAATATCCTTGTAAGCTCAACACATGGCAGTTTCTCTTAGCCCAGGTGTGTATATGAGGAAAGAGTTAAAGGTTACCTAGAGGATTGATTTATAAGGGGGAAGCTCAGAAAAATACTTAAAAACCACAACTATTACCTGGAAGGTGGGAAATCCCAAGAAGCAATATATGGCTGGTTGGCCAAATCGTTTTAGATCTTTTCAAAACATTTGAATTGTATAGAGATGTGGAAATATTTTCTGAGATATTAATTTAGATAAAAATGGCACTGATTGTGAAGACAAATATCTGTGCCATACTTTACATGCAAACCCCATTCAAAAGATGTAAGTATTGATTTGTATTCAGGGTAACCCCTATATAGCCAGCAGTATCTTTTTTTAATTTGATTTATTTATTTTATTTTATTTTTTTGAGTTGGAGTCTCACTCTGTCACCCAGGCTGGAGGGCAGGGGCACGCTCCCGGCCACCGCAGCCTCGACCTGCTGGGCTCCGGCGAACCTTCCGCCTCAGCCTTCCAAGGAGCCAGAACTACAGTCACACGCTTCCACGCCCAGCTAATTTTTGGTTTATTGTACAGAAAAGGTTTCGCCAAGTTGCCCAGGTGGGTCTTGAACCCACGGCTCAGGGCAATCCACTCACCTCGGCCTCCCAAAGTGCTGGGATTGTAGGCTGAGCCACCAAGCCCAGCCAGTATCTTTTAAAAAAAAAAAATCATCAACAATTAAAAGAAAAGATAAAAAACTATTCCCATTTACAGAGATCCTTGGATAGAACAGTCAATAACTATAACAACGTCTAACGTATTTAGGGACACTGAAATTTCAAAACAACCCTGTAAGATAAATGGTACTGTGATCTCCGGCTTACATAGGAGTGAACTCAGGCCCAGAAAATTACAGGTCACCCAAGGAAGCTCCCAAGGTCAGGGACAGGCATTGAAGACAGACAATCTGGCTCCAGAACACACATGCTTCCCCACCAGGCCATACTGCCTGGGAACACTTCTGGGGAGCTGAGACAGCTGAATTCTTATATGACGGCATGCATGTAAATCCATCCTACCCGTTCTGTTCTGCCTGGAGATACCTGCTGGTAACAAGCAGTCATTTGCAAAAGCTGTTTTCAGTAAAACACACATTTTATCTTGACACTGCAGGCCTTCATTAAACTGTGCCCAGAAACTTGTTTTGAAATAACCAAATGAAATTCTGCCCCTTTTCTCCCTAATTGCTTCTAATAATAAAGTTAGTTCTCACTGGCCCCACCGCTACTGCAACATCTGATGGTAATGAGCAGTTCTTGGCGGAAGGCATTGTGACTTAAATACCTACAGTTTATCTTCCTGTTGCAGGCCACCTTTCCCCCAGCCCCCCTCGAACAGAAGAACTTGTTTGGAAGTTACTAAGTGAACCTCTGTTTGCTCCCTTCATTAATTACTCTTTGCTCTTGCAAGTTAGCTTTCTCCTTTGTTAAATGGCCTAAGGAGGCCAATTAAAATGCTGTCTTGCGATTTTCATCAGTGGCGGTTCAGGCTGTACCCAGACTTGTGATGGCCTGCACAAGCCAATAGGCATTTGGGGAGTCTCAGTAGTCATCCATCTGACAACACAAATGAGCTTTGACCCTCCCCCACCCCCCAAGGCCCCAGAGTCCTTTGCTCCCCTACCCAGTACGCTTGGGAATAAACGGTCTGTGTTGGGGAGAGATTGAACAAAGCACTGGCGCCTCCAGTGAGCTCATGCACTCTTCCATCTTTTTCCTTCACATCCTTCCCACTTCACCCTTTCCCTGTCCCCTAAAATAGCAGGAAAAAAGGAGGAGGGCGCTCCTGGATTCTCAAAGAAGAACTTCAACTGAATTTCACTCTAAAAACAATGTTATGAACTGTGGTTAGTTGTTCCTGAAATCTATAGCTCCATGCTTGAGGAAGATGGTGGCTTCTGTGGGCTGACCTAGCAATTCCCAGCAGCCAACTTCAAAGCAGGCGTCTGAACTAGCTTGGCTCTGCTTAGGGAAGTGCCTCTAGTCGTCCTCATAAAGCGAGGTGGTTCCGGGAGTTGAGACAGATTGCCCCTCCAAGGCCTGGAGCTTGATGTTTCATTGTTTAGATTAAGTCTCGGGTTCTTGAAATAATATTCATCCCCATGGTATATGAAAACATGTGTGGGTGTGTGTGTGTGTGTGTGTGTGAACACTTCTGTGAATTATGCTAGAATACCTGTTGATCACAGATTTGGGGTAGGGGAGAGAGAAGAGAAGAAAGGGAAGACAGGTCGACATTACTCAAGACTTCGTTGGAATATTCCCATGAGACAGAAGGGCAGCTACATGACGTGGTTACAATAGGGGCATATAGCAATGAGCAAGCTTACTCGACCCCTTAGAAACCTCATTTCTCCTTTCTGGATTACATGGAAGAGTCACTGCCGGTATTGACGAAGGCATGGAGCAAGGTGACTCACGTGTGTCCACTATTAGAGTGTAGGAAGGAGGCTTTTCCCATGACGATTTCAGTTTCCTTCACAGTTGACCTTCAAATATTTCAACTTTGTTCCCAAATGGAAAGAATTGGTTTCTCTGTGATTGACAGTGACTTTTGACAAACCTCTCAGAGTCATTACCCGTGGTTACTTCTGCTCCCTGTTCCCAGGGTGACACACCCACGCATGTTGGTCAAGGGGAGAATGGAGCTCGGACCAGGGGACTCTTTTGCTCTTGCTTTTCCCAGGACAGAATCTCAGGAGTGGAGATCCTGGCACAGTGAACTTGTCAGTCAGTCTGGGAACAGACCAGAATAGAACACCCTGGCTGCTACTTCCATTGCAGCCATATCTTAAAGCAAAACAATATTAAAATTTTGAGTAATATAGACGTGGGTTGCACGTAGTGATAATTGTCACTGAAGATATTATATTGTTAGCACCACATTTCCTCTTCATTCAGTTTTGCATTCCCTCTCTCCTTGCTTGGCTGTTTTGTGATGCTAGGGAATTCTGTCCTTTGAATCCATCTCTGTTTTCAAGCTTTCTGTTTTGTCTCAGCCTGTTTCACCCTGAAGTTGTCACTCAGGCCTGAGGTTGATCAGTGGAACTCAAACCCTTGCTGACTTAGAACAGTTCACCAAGAAAAAAGGCTGCTGGATTTCTTAGCATATGTTAGAAGTTTCACCAGTCTCTTTTTAGAGAAGTGACCTTAACATTTGCATAGCTAAAGAACTGTGACTTAAAGAAGTGTGTCTCAGGACTTAAGATGGCCATTTGAAAACTTAAGTTCTTTGAATTTCAAGTGCCATTACTCCTCCTCAAAGGTGAGCTTTAAAGAACCCCAAATTTAACTGAAAAGATTCTGTATGTGATGTGTACATGCAGGTCTCAACCCTGGAGAAAAGTGTAAGTTGAATATTTCATATGAGTTTTGTTATGGTGTATAAAGAAATAAAAACAATAAGGCTAAAAATGAGATTTTGAAGTAAAGTATTTTCACTGCCTGAAACACACAGATCAATTTCAAGCTGTTGTAGAATGTGCTGTGCGATATGAGAACTGTTCGTGGGTTTCATTCCAGTTTCCATCTTTATTGCCAAACCCTCTCAAGTTCTGCGTAGTTCATTGATTCTGTAGCGAGGCATTCTCGTGCCCTAGAATGTGGTCTCTAATTGTTTCCATGTTTCATAACATGCCTCTAAGCACATGAATTGGTCTGGGCAACCACATGGAGGGAAGAAAAAGTTTGGAAAAAATGAAGCACTGGTAAGGAGAGGAAAATGTATGCCGCTGGGATTTTCACTCGGAGGATGCTATTTGTGTGGGTGACCGGGACCCAGGACTAGCAGTCTAGCTTGAAGAATTAGGGTCTTCAAGATGGGATTTGCCAAGGTGATTTCTGACCCAGGAAGCTCTATGATTTAGCAAGTGATTGTCCACTTCCCCCGCCCCTTGTCTATCTGCTTTTGACCCTTTCTCTTCTACTTTGTCTCTCATCTTGAGTTACACAAGACAGAGGGAAGGTGTAAATCTCATGCTTGGAAAATTCTTGAATAGCCTTGACTACA